GGGGGGGGGATGTAAATCGGGAGATTAAGTTTCCTCGATTTGAAAATTCGATACCTACCTCTGTTTTGTATTTCGGGGAAAATATGCCGAGGTATTAAAAGAGATTAAAGCGCGGAAACTGATGCGTGTTTCATGGAGATTTAAACGTGTCATGTTTACGACATTGACGGAGAAATGGTTCACCGCTTGGAGCGCTGCAGGTCATTGATTCGTGACGTAGTAATCTAGATTCCAGATAATAGATTTTGATGTTCAAAAAGAAAAGAAAAAAAAAACAACGACCTAATACTATATGAGTTCTAGAAAGTTTAAGTGATTTAAGTGATAAACACTAGAATGATCAAAAGTGATGAAAATGATCCATTTACAGTTTTTGTTAGACATTTTACAGTTATAAAACAGTGTATTTTTGAAGATTTAAAAATTTTTCGTAAAATATATGAAAAAAAGCTTATATACTATACTATATCGTTTTATTATAAAATTTCTCTATTTTTTTGTCTTTAATGTCTCTGATGGAAATTTTATACTTTAATCGCTACTAGTTCTAATGTTAATTCAGATTAACAGACATTTGTCTGAAAATACATGTTCTATACAGTGGGCCAGAAGTTTTTTTCCATCTATTTTTTTTTTAATAAAACATCTTTAATTTGTAAAAAACAAAATAATGTTTTTAAATATATAGTAAAAAAAATTGTGGGTTTATTTTGGTAAGAAGCGATTTTTGGCCATTCTCTGGCCATTTTGGCCATTCTTCTCGAAGCCCACATTCTGTACTATTTTGTCCGCCTATGTAATTCAATCTGTTGTGGTAAAGTAAGTCGACTCTTCGTGTTGACAAAATCCGCATTAAATTAGCATCTTCCATTATATCTCTCAGTTTACATCTCACGGTATTTATAGTGCATACATGTACATTTTTAAATTTTTGAAAAGAAAAAAAAACCTATTAAATGATCGAAGAGATATTGCAGTTTCAGTTAGAAATGATCTTCAATTAGGAACAGCTACTACTTAAAAGGTAGCTTTGCAGCTTTAGAAATTTCAATGCAAAATCTACGAGTGATTGTTATTTTATTGCAAAAGGTTGTTAATAGATAATAGTCGATAACAGAAAAAAAAATTATATATACATATATACTATCTTTCGTTCAGCAGTTCCGGCTTTGATAATATTGGCTGCAACCAATGTCAAGGCACTTAACTATAAGAGATTCTTTTACTAGTTTAATATACATTTCCAAGAAGATGTAGACAATCAATACCAAATATCTCACCAGAACTTTTGTTCGAAGTTCTTATTAGTGTTTTGAAGGGCCATAGTGTTTAAAAAGAAAGCAGAATATATCTTTGATAAATAATAGAATTTTATTGTTTGTCCATATACTAATAAGGAGTTAAATAATTATTATAATTAATGGAATAAACAGAATAGAAGATAACATAAATTATATATATAGAATAATAAAGAATAATAATATATATAGATTAATAAAGAATAATAATATATGTAGAATAATAAAGAATAATAATATATATATAATAATGAAAAAAAAGGGACAAGTTAATACAATGCACTGCAATTAACATTTAGCTTGAAAACTATGATGAAACTGAACTGCGTTATTTTCAATATATTTGTTACCAGATATTGTCCCTTGTTCTCCACTTTAAAGGAAAATACCAAGGCTTGTGTTCGTGGACTGTCCCTGGACAACAGTCTCTCACAATCAGTCTCAAGCAATTCCTATTCTGCGACTTAAGCTTCACGACATTACAAAACTGAATCGTATGAATTTTCAGTTGAAAGATTTATATTTAGAATTTTTAAAATCACGTAACCCTTTGCTACCACTT